TCACCTCTAGAACACACACCCCTCACCTACAGAACACACACACACACCCCTCACCTCTAGAACACATGCACACACCCCTCACCTCTAGAACACACACACACCCCTCACCTCTAGAACACACACACACACCCCTCACCCCTAGAACATACACACACCCCTCACATGTAGAGTGCACACACACACCCCTCACCTCTAGAATGCACGCACACACCCCCTCACTTCTAGAACACACACACACCCCTTACCTCTAAAACACACACCCCTCACCTCTAGAGCACACGTGCACACACACACCCCTCACCTCTAGAACACATACACACACTCCTCACTCCAAGAACACACACATGCCCCTCACCTCGAGTGCACACACACACCCCTCACCTCTAGAATGCACGTGCACACACACATCCCTCACCTCTAGAACACATACATGCACACCTCACTTCTAGAACACACACATACCCCTCACCTCCAGAACACACACATGCACACACTCCTCACCTCTAGAACACACACACACTCCCCTCTAGAGTGCAAGTGCACACACACACCCCTCACCTCTAGAACACACACACACACACACCTCTCACTTCTAGAACACATGCAAGCACCCCCACCTCTAGAACACACACACACAAACACCCCTCACCTCTAGAACACACACACACACCCCTCATCCCTAGAACACACACACACCCCTCACCTCTATAGTGCACGCACACACCCCTCACCACTAGAATGCACGTGCGCACACACACACACCCCTCACCTCTAGAACACACACATGCACACTTCACCTCTAGAACACACACACCTCACCTCCAGAACACACACACGCACACACCCCTTACCTCTAGAATACACACACACACCCACCTCTAGAGTGCACGTGCACACACACACCCCTCACCTCTAGAACACACACACCTCACCTCTAGAATACATGCACACATCCTTCACCTCTAGAACACAAACACACACCTCCCACCTCTAGAACACACACGCACACCCCTCACCTCTAAAGCACACACACACATTCCTTACTTCTAGAACAGACACACCCCTCACCTCTAGAGCACATACCCCTCACTTCTAGAACACACACACACACTTCACCTCTCGAACACATGCACGCACCCCTCACCTCTAGAACACACACACACCCCTCACCTCTAGAGTGCACACACACACCCCTCACTTCTAGAACACACACACTTCACCTCTAGAACACATGCACACATGCACGCACCCCTCACCTCTAGAACACACACACACACCCCTCACCTCTAGAGTACACATACACACCCCTCACCTCTAAAGCACACACACACCCCCCTCACTTCTAGAACACACACACATCCCTCACCTCTAGAACACACACACCCCTCACTTCCAGAACACACGCGCACACACACACCCCTCACCTCTAGAGCA